GCTCCTCGTGGGAGCACGAGGCGGCGCCGATACAGTCATCAATGTAATGGAGGAAGAGGTGGGGTTTAGGGCCGGTGTAGGTACGGAAGAGGGATTGTTCCACGTAACCTACAAAGAGGCAGGCGTAGCTTGGGCCCATGCGGGTACCCATGGCTACCCCCTTTGTCTGTAGGAAGTGGGAGGAATTGAAAGAGAAGTTGTTGAGTGTGAGGACGAGTTCGGCTAAGCGGATGAGGGTATCAGTGGAGGGGGACTGGTCGGGCCTGCGGGACAGGAAGAAGCGGAGGGCCTTAAGGCCATCTGCATGGGGAATGCAGGTGTAGAGGGACTGGACATCCATGGTAAAGATGAGGTGTTGGGGACCGGGGAATTGGAAGTTCTGGAGGAGGTGGAGGGCGTGGGTGGTGTCACGGACATAGGTAGGGAGTTCCTGGACCAAGGGGGAGGAAATGGAGTCTAGACAGTTGGAGATCAGTTCGGTGGGGCAGGAGCAGGCGGAGACAATGGGTCGACCAGGGCATTCAGGTTTGTGGATTTTGGGAAGGAGATAGAAGCGGGCAGTGCGAGGTTGGGGAACGATGAGGTTTTTGAACCTTGTTGTCTCGGATTCTCCAGCATCTGCAGTTCCTACTATCTCTGATTCAATTGGATACAAAATTGGTTTGAAGGTAGGAGACAGATTGTGGTGGTAGAGGATTGCATTTCAGACTGTAGGCCTGTGATCTGCTGTGTGCCACAAGTTTCAGCGCTGGCTCCACTGTTTTTCATCATATATGCAAATAAATTGGATGTGAATATTGGTGGTATGGTTAGTAAATTTGCAGATGACACCAAAATAGGTGGTGTAGTGGACAGTGAAGAAGATTATCTCAGTGTACAATGGGACCTTGATCAGAAGGGCCAAGGACTGGCAGATGAAGATTTATTTTAGATAAATGCGAGGTGTTCCATTTTGGTAAGGCAAACCTGTGCAGGGCTTATACAGTATGGTCAGGCCCTGGGGCGTGTTGCCAAAGAGTGACTGAGACAAGTAGGTGCATAGCTCCTTCAGCGTGTAGTTGCGGGTAGACAGGGTGATGAAAAAGGTGTCAATAAAAATAGAGTTGGAAAAGCACAGCTGGTCAGACAGCATCCAAGGAGTAGGAAAGTCAACGTTTCGGCCCGAAATATTGACTTTCTTGCTCCTCGGATGCTGTCTGACCGGCTGTGCTTTTCCAGCTCTACTTTTATTGACTCCAGCTTCCAGCATATACAGTCCTTCCTGTCTCCAAGTGGTGAAGAAGGCACTTGGCACACTTGCCTTCATTGGTCAGTAGATGGAGTATAGGAGTTGGGACATCATGTTGTGGTTGTACAGGACATTGGTGAAGCGATTTTTAGAATACTGCATACTATTTTGGTCTCCCTGATACTGCTAAAAGCTGGGGTTCTCTTCCTGCTGCTAGAACTGTATGTGAGACAATCTATTTTACTGAATTTGCTTTTGGCAAGGATGTATTTATGGAATGTTACTATATTTGGAACAGTTATTTAGTAGCAGTTAACATTTTATTTTGTTAAGCATTTCACTAGTTACAGTTAAGCCAATTTGTTTTGTCAAAATAAAAACAAATGAATTGTGGATGCTGTAAATCAGAAATGAAAACAGAAATTGCTGTAAAAGCTCAGCAGGTCAGGCAGCATCTGTAGTGAGAAATCTGTGGAGAGAGTTATGAGTAAGGGTCACTGGACCCAAAACTTTAACTTTGATTTCTCTCTGCAGATGCTGCCAGACCTGCTGAACTTTTCCAGCAATTTGTTTTTGTTTCTGATTTACAGCATTCGCAGTTCCTTCGGTTTTAATTGTACCCCCCAATAAAGGCAGCATCTCTGTAATAATGCAACCAAGCATTAGTGTTGAGTATTGTGCTGGTGGAATTTGAACCTGGAACTTTGTAAAACAGGCAAGAGAGCCACTACTTGAGCTGTTGCTGACCCTCTGCTGAGAAGTCCTTCAGGACATAGTTAGCTCAGTCAATAATGGTATTCCTGAACCATTGTTGATGAAATTATCAAAGTCACGCACCCAAAGTATTTTCTGTGCCCTTACTGACCTCAAGTCTTGTTTCAAGTGGTGTTCAAAGAGAAGAATATTTGACTCGCCTGCTGAGGGAGGGCATTTGGTGTGGCTTTCAATGCTGGCATTGACAAGGCTGCTAATATCCCAGGAGCACATAAATAAAAGTCAGCAAGTTTTCTTCTTCATGCTTTATCTGACACTATGAGTATCCATGAGGTTTACTGTATACACATACACCACAGTATTTGCAAATGATAGGGGTCTGGATCTCACACTGATTATATAAAACAACAGTGGACGTGGGGATGGCAGATCTGAATGAATCCCAGAGCAGGCTCAAGCTCCTGTTCTGCAACACCTACATTCTGCCTGCAAAAACAAAAAAAAAAAGCCCCTGAGCTTCCAGTTGCCTGTCACTTTAACACACCACCCTATTCCCTGGCCAACATCTGTCTCAGGTTTGCTTTAGTACTCCAGCAAAGCTCAGTGCAAGCTAGAAGAACAGCACCTCATTTTCCATCTGGGAACCCTGCAACCTTCTGAGCTCAATATTGAGTTCAACTTTAGGGCCTAAAATCTCCATGTCCCTACCCCAACTGCTACACATCAGGCCTTGTTATGACATAGGCCGCTATTACACACAACCCACTGTTAGCCACAGACATTCCCCATTAATAGTACTCACCTTCTTGTTAGATCGTTAACCACTCCTTTGTCTAACTATTCTTCTCTCTCTTTGGGCTCTATCCCATAACCCCGTTTATCGTTTACTCCTTATCCCCTCCATCCTGTCGTCTGCACTTAAACTGATATTTTCCTAGCTACCATCAGATCTGAGCAACGGTCACTAGACAAGAATCGTTAACGCTTTTCTCTCCACAGATGCTGCCAGACCTGCTGAACTTTTCCAGCAATTTCTATTTTTGTTCCTGTTCCTATTGGTATGTTCGCTTGGAAGCTCGCAGGGTCGATAACGGCTGTTGACGGTTATAGTGCCGTCATCGATGCCAGCGATCTGAAAGTTTTGTTCTTAAATAGCTGTTCCAACAATTGAGTAGCTCAGAGTCAAATCATCTGCAGTGAGCAGGAACCCGTGCATTCAGTTCATGAACTGAAGACTGTAACCATCCTGACGGAAAAAGCATAACTCTACCCTTCGCTGTAGTAAGCTAATGATTACCCTAACATTCCTTCCGAGCCCATAATTTATCATTACTGTAATATAAAGCTCACTTCCTTCTGACAATCTCCCTCCCGAACGTTGTGAGAATCCATCATCCATCATCCATCATCGACTCCATTTCCGGCAAGGATCACGCATATCCGGTCAGACTCGGTCAGGCTCTCCTCTATCCCTCTTCTATCCGCCTCCCACTCTCTCCCTATTTATTTCAAAACCCCCTTCCCCTCCCCCTTTTCTGATGAAGGGTCTAGGCCCGAAACGTCAGCCTCTCTGCTCCTATGATGCTGCTTGGCCTGCTGTGTTCATCCAGCCCTGCACCTTGTTGTCTCAGACTCGGATATATCCGGCCAGAATCGGCTATTTCCGGTATAGATCGGGTATTTCCGTCCAGACCCGGCTACCTCCGGCCGGATTCGGCTATTTCCGGCCTGCAGCATAGTGGTTTCTGTGCAACTGTGGGTCCTCGTGTCAATGGAGAGTCGGCCTCCTCCGGCTAAGAAGTTCAAAACATCATTGTCCGTGTGTGGCCAAAGGCGGGACAATGCACTCTCGCGGGAGATGGAGATTGATCAACAGCGGAGAGACCTGCCCATCTATCGGGCTCGGGGAAAACTCCTCGGACAACTGCGACAGCTGGACGCGGCGGTGATCATAGGTAACCACCATCGGCCGGCCTAACCAAAACCTCCCCCAAACTAAGAAACAATGGAGTGTGGAGCTGGAGGAACACGGCAGGTTAGGCAGCATCAGGGGAGCAGCGACCCGAAACGTCAACTTTCCTGCTCCCCTGATGCCGCCTGGCCTGCTGTGTTCCTCCAGCTCCACACTGTGTTGTCTCTGTTTCCAGCAGTTCTTGTTATTTCCCCCCCTCCAAACTAACACAACCACCACCCCCTAGCCGAACCATCCTCCAAACTAATGCCACAACCACCACCACCCCCCAGTCGAACCATACCCCATACTAACACACCACCACCACCCCCAAGCCGAACCATCCTCCAAACTAACACTATTACCATCACCCCGCCCCCCAGCCGAACCAACCCCATATTACCACCAAACTGAACTATCCCCCAAACTAACTCTGACCTTACCACCCTCCCACCAAACTGGACCGTTCCTCCCTGAAACCACTCCCCAAAAGAACCCACACTAAAATCAACTCCAGAACTACTCTTGCTGTCCCCCAGCCTCATTAAAACCTTCCCTGAACTGACATACCCCAAATAACCCCCTCTGAAACCAACCCTCCCCCAAACTAACCCTATCTGAAACCATCCCTGAAAACCTACCCCTCCAAACTGACCACCTAAAACTAGCCCGCCCAAAATCAACCTGTCCAATCTAACTCCTCCCAAACTGATCCCTAAACTAACCACCCCTCAAACTAAACATCCTTTTAAACCATTCTCCAAACTAACACTACCCCTTTGAAACCATCTCCTGCTCCCCCAGCTTAATTAAGCTCAACCCCTGAACTGACCCCCTAAACTAATCTACTCCTGGAACTACCTCCCGAACTAAGCCCTGCACACATCCCCAGAAAAAAAATCCCTGAAAACCAACTCCCAAATCAACCTCTTCCCCGAAACCAACCCCAAACAGACCTCTTTGAAGCCATCTCTCAATCTGACCCACCCGCAAAGAAATCGTCCCTCCAAAACCCCCACCCAAAATCACATCTTTTCTCCCCACCCCCAACAAAACTATACCCCAAACTGATCCCTTCCTGGGAACCACATTCTTTCCAAAAGCACACCCACACTGAAAACCCCTCCCCAAAATCTCCCCCCAAACAGACCGAGAGTTATTTGCTATTTCCTCTCTCCCATTTTGACTAGTGGTGTCATGTTAGCAGTTTTCCAATAGTCTGGTACTTCTGCAGAACACACAGATTTTTGGAAAATTACAACCCTGAAATGGCAAACTGATTGCTGTCCCACTGATAGTAGGAACTGCAGATGCTGGAAAATCTGAGATAACAAGGTGTAGAGCTGGATGAACACAGCAGACGAAGAAGCATCATAGGAGCAGGAAGGCTGACGTTTCGGGCCTAGACCCTTCTTCAGAAGTGGGAGGGGAAGGGGGTTCTGAAATAAATAGGGAGAGAGGGGGAGGCGGAGAGGAAACAGACAGGTCAAAGAGGCGGGGATGGAGCCAGTAAAGGTGAGTGTAGGTGGGGAGGTAGGGAGGAGATAGGTCAGTCCAGGGAGGACAGACAGGTCAAGGGGGCGGGAT